TGCACAGCGTTTTTCCAGGAAATTAATCCTGGAATCAACTTCGAACGCGGCATAAAAATCGAAATTTCGCCTTGAAAATTCAGTTTTTTGAGTCGAAAATCAGAATTTTCTGGCGATTTTTGAGCCGATTTCTAGCCAAAAAATGACTCAAACATTCGATTTTTCGCACTCAAAATCTATATTTTCCAGCGATTTCTGGCTCAAAAGCTAATTGAAAAATGTTTTTTTCAAGAATTCTAGTTGATTTTCTGGCCAGAAATTTAAATTTTTTTGAAATTTTCTCAAGAATTTGAGCAATTTTGGCCAGAAATTCCGATATTTTTCGAATTTTGAGGGGGTTTTTGGGTCGAAAATCGGATTTTTTCCTAATTTTTTTTGCCGGGGAATTTGAATTTTTTGGGTCAAAAATCTGAATTTTCTGCGACTTTTAAGTCGATTTCTACTCAAAAAAAAAAAATCATAATTCGAGTAAAAAGTGACTCAAAAATTCGATTTTTCACAAAACTTCGAGTTTCAAATCAGTGTTTTGAAGGGAAATTTGAACTGTTTGGTGTCAAAAATCCGTTTTAACCCCAAAACTAGGCTCAAAATTCGATTTTTCGCACTCAAAAATCCATTTTTTCAGCGATTTTTGGCTTAAATCTCATTTTTTTCCATCAATTTGCAGCGTACCTTCATGAGCATCTCCTTTCGTCGATTAATCTCTTTTCGTTCTCCAAACTTTTGATTCTCGAGCTTAAGCTCCGCCTCCTTTTTGGCGACCAACACTTGGGTGACATATTTGGTGACGTGCTTTGCGGAAACCTGGAAAAAATGGCTGAAAATCCCGAAAATAGGACAAAAATAGAGGGAAAATATCGATTTTAGGGAAAAAAGGGAAAATAAATAAAATGGGCGACTAGTGGCTGAGGGGAAAATGATGTATAAAAATGTGAGAAAATGAGAGAGAGAGACGGAGATTGATAGTGAGGGGAGTTGAAGAGACGCAGACAGATAGGAAGGGAGAACAAGAGGGAGAGCGGGCGGTTTGAGTTTTTTTTTATCTAGAAAAATGGGGAAATTTGAAGATTTTAGGGGCTAAAATGAGCTGAAAAATCTCTAAGTTTTGAAAATTGTATGCTGAGCAATAGGGAATTTTCGAATTTTGTAGTTTTTTCCCCCAAATTTAGCGCCATTTTCCAAATGTGTGAGGGAAACGAAGTCCTTCAGCATCTGCCATGTTTTGGGTTTTCTAAAATTTTATGCTGAGCAACCGCCGAAAACTGCAATAAAACCAGTTTTTGAGTTCCTAGGCCATGTAAGGAATCTTAGGCCATTTATTTTCGGGTTTCTAGGCCATAGATAGGAAATCTAGGCTATCAACTTCTGGGTTTCTAGGCCATAAAAGGAATCCTAGGTCAGCAATTTGTGGGTTCCTAGGCCATGTAAGGAATTTTAGACCACTGATTTTTGTATTTCTAGGCCATAAAAGGAATCCTAAGCCACCAATTTTTCGGGTTTCTAGGCCATCAACGGAATCCTAGGTCACTAATTTTGGATTTCTAGGCCATCAATGGAATCCTAGGTCACTAATTTTGGATTTCTAGACCATCAACGGAATCCTAGGCCGCCAGGTTTCGGGTTCCTAGGCCACCAATTTCGGAATCCTAGGCCATAAAAGGAAACCTAGGCCATCAATTTTCGGGTTTTTAGGCCACTTTTTTAAAAGATTCCAAGGCCATAAATAGGAAACCTAGGCCACTAATTTTTGGGTTCCTAGGCCAGAAGTTTTTGAATTTCTAGGCCACCAATTTGTGGGTTTCTAGGACACCAATCGCCGATTCTCAGGATCCTGGATTTCTAGGCCATCTATGCCTACTCTTTTAGATTCCTAGGCCACCAATCAATGGGTGATCCCGCACCTTTTTAGGATCCTAACTTTTTTGGAATTTCGAAAGTCTCAAAATTCGGATATCTAAGAATCCTTCGCTTGTAAGACTTTCGGGGTCCTAGGTCACCGTTTTTGGGGTTCCTAGGCCACTAATTTGTTTCTAGGCCACGACTCGCTGATTCTCAGGATCCTGGATTTTTAGGTCATCTATGCCTACTTTTGAATTTTTAGATTCTCAAAACTCTCACTTTCAACTCGTCCAACTTCTTTCCAATCGTCTTCTCCACTGCTTGCAGCAACTCCACATCGTACTGTGTCACGAAGCTCAACGCCGAACCGAATCTTCCAGCTCTTGCCGAACGTCCAACACGATGGATGTACGTTTTCGGGCATTGAGGAACGTTGTGGTTGACTACAAGATCAACGTGTGGGATATCCAATCCACGGGAAGCGACGTCTGTGCAGATGATCACCTGGAAAATGGAGATTTCGTTGGTTGTGAAGTCTCAGGGATTCTAATAGAACAACACTGAAATTCGAGCTCTATTATCTCGGTTCCCGTAAGAGACATCGAGAATCTGACAACTGATAAAATTATGGTGATATTATGACAAACATTTTATCAGTTGACAGATTATTGATATCTCTCATAGGAATCGAGATAATTGAGCTCAAAACTTGAGCGTAGAGAGCCGTTCTTTTAGAGCGATTACGGTAGTTTTTTCGGCCTAGGAACCCAAAAACCAGGTGGCCTAGGATTTCTAAAATTTTCGACTATTTTCGGACCATTCTTGACCAACTTTGGGTCTTTGTTAAAATCAATTTTGGACCATTTATAGTCAAATTTGTGTCATTTTTGACCCAATTATGACCATTTATAGCCAAATTTGAGTCATTTTTGACCCAATTATGACAACTTATAAACAAATTTGAGTCATTTTTGACCCAATTATGACCATTTATAGCCAAATTTGAGTCATTTTTGACCCAATCATGACCATTTATAGCCAAATTTGAGTCATTTTTGACCCAATCATGACCATTTATAGCCAAATTTGAGTCATTTTTGATCAATTTTGGGTCATCTTAGTCAGTTTTGGACGAATTTTGGGTCATTTGAGATGCCTTTCTAACCTGCAAAGTCTTTGAACGGAACGCGGAAAGCGCGGCGAGCCGTTGCTTCTGTGGAATCTGTGAATGCAGCGATCCCACTCGAAATCCCAATCCCTCGAACATATAAGCCAACGCCTGACACTCCCGACACGTCTGCGCGAAGATCATCACCGACGACTTTGGATTCTTCTCACTGTAATTCTTGACGACGTAAACCAGATAGGCATCCTTCACAGCCACCGGGCACACGACGAATTTCTGTTCCAACCGATCTACAGTAGTCTCGTCGTCCTTTCCTTTGTCCTCGAAGAAATACGGTTTTCGTGTTGAGACCTTGTGAAGGGTGTTGATGTTCTGAGTGATGGTGGCGGAGAGTAGAAGGGTTTGACGCTTCTCGGGGATCGATTGGAAGATTGGTTTCAGCTGATCGTTGTACTGGCCTTCGAGCATTCGGTCCGCTTCGTCGAGGACGAAGAATTGGATTTTCTGGAAGAAAGTGGGGTTTTTAAGGGGAATTGATCTGAAATTGGCTCAAAATTGGTCAAAAATGGTCCAATATTGGTCAAAAATGATCAAAAATGATCGAAAATTGGTCAAAAATTGGCCTAAATTGGTCAAAAATGGTCCAAAAATGGTCAAAAATTGGTCTAAATTAGTCGAAAATTGGGCGAAATTGATCTGAAATTGGCTCAAAATTGGTCAAAAATTTTCCAGAATGGTCGAAAATGGTCCAAAAATTTTGACCAATTTTAGACCATTTTTGACCAATTTAGACCAATTTAGGACCATTTTTGACCATTTTTGGACAATTTTTGACTAATTTTGGACAATTTTTGACTAATTTTGGAATATTTTTGACCAATTTTGAGCCAATTTTCGACTAACTTAGACTAATTTTAGACCATTATTGACCAATTTAGACCAATTTAGACCAATTTAGGACCATTTTTGACCAATTTTTGACCAATATTGGACCATTTTTGACCAATTTTGAGCCAATTTCAGATCAATTTCGCCCAATTTTTGACCAATTTTTGACAATTTGTGACCAATTTTTGACAATTTGTGACCAATATTATACCAATTTTGATCAATTTTAAACTAATTTTGAGCCAATTTCAGATCATTCTTGGACTATTTTCAGTCAAATCAAAGCGTATTTCAGACGTTTTCAGACCATTTCTATGAGCCAATTCAGCCAATTTACCTTAAAAACCTTGGCAATAACCTCCGGATCACTCTCAATCAAATCCGTCAACCTTCCAGGCGTCGCCACCACGATATGCGGACGTTCGGAAAGTTCTCGAGCCTGATGAATTAGGCTCCGCCCACCAACGATCACCGAGCATTTCAGAGTGATTGGTTTGCCGACTGCTGTGAATTGATCGGCGATTTGAAATGCCAATTCACGGGTTGGAGTCAGGATGAGGGCGTAGATGCCATAGGGATCGATCGAGAGCTTCTGGAAAATTTAATTTTTTTTGAAATTGGTCAAAAATTCGTTTCAGTGCAATTCAGACCATTTTTTTCAGCGATTTTCCGGCTATTTTCAGAAATTTTTCTTTAAATTTCGGAGAAGTTTCAGCCATTTTTGGTCCGTTTTTGATGGCTAAATTGCACTGAAAATAGAGCCGTGAGAAGGGTCCAAAAATGGTTAAAAACCGACGGAAAATTCTGAAAATAGGCTGAAATTTGAGAGGAAAAAACGTCTGAAATAGCTGAAAATAAGGGATTTAAACCATTTTTTTTCCTGGTTTTTCTTCTAATCCCTGGCCTTTTCCAGTGTAGTTTTAACAATTTTTCTCTCCAGAATTCTCTAATTTTGTGTTGTAAAAACGAAAAATTCGGCTAAAAATGACCGAAAAATTATCAAAAAATAGTTCAAAATGAGACTAAAATAGGCCCAAAAATGATCTTTTCGTCCGTTTCAGAGCCAATTTTAGTCCCATTTTGAACTATTTTTGATAATTTTTCTGGCCATTTTTCAGCCGAATTTTTAGTTTTTAAAACACAAAATTAGAGAATTCTGAAGAGAAAAATTGTTAAAAGTACACTGAAAAAAGGCCAAAATGGTCGAAATCCCTTATTTTCAGCTATTTCAGACGCTTTTTTCTGCTCACATTTCAGACTATTTTCAGCACAATTTGGCTGTTTTTCAGCCAATTTTCTCACAATTTCTTGAGCCATTTTCAGACTTTTTGAGCTCAATTTTTCTCCCATTTTTTCCTAATTTTGTCTAATTTTTCTAGAGAATTCTACCTGTAAAATAGGAATGGCGAAAGCCAGCGTCTTTCCGGTTCCTGTTCTAGCACATCCTAGAATATCGCTTCCATCCAGAATACGTGGGATACAGGCTGCCTGAACGGGCGTAGCTGTCTTGATGTGCATCGTTTGGAGCTGTTGAGTGATCCACGAGGAGACTCCGAGTTCCGAGAACTTCCTAGTCGTCATGTTGTCTTCGGAAATTTGAAATGGCTGAGGATCGTTTGTCTGGAAACTTCAGAATTTTAGAAAAATAAGAAAAATAAATTTTAGAAAACATAGAACAAATTGCAGAATTTCCAGACTTCAAAATCTTGAAATCGAAATTCCTCAAATCTGAAAAATATTAAGAAGACGAAAAAATTCAAATTTGCTAATATTCAGAAAAATCCAAAAATTCTATAATTTCCGGAATTTTCAAAATATATTCCAAAATACATATATTCCAAAAAATTTCAAATTTTTCAAAAATTCCAAAATGTTCCAAAGTTCTAAACAATTCAGATCTTTGAAAAATCCAGAAATTTCGAAAAGTTCTGAATTTCAGAAATTTCAAAAAAAAAAACTAAAATATCGAATTTCGGAAAATTCCTAACTTCAGGAATTTTCAAGAATCATACATTCCAAAATTACAGAAAATTGAAAACTTTCAAAAAATTCAGAAACTAATTTTTTTTTGAAAAATTCAGAAAATCTAAAAATTTCAAAAAACCAAAATTTATATATTTTAATGGAATTTTCTAATTTTTAGGCTTAAAATCTGTTTTTTTTTGCAAATATAACATTATACAGAAATTTCAGAAAAAAAACGGAAAATTTAAAAAGTTCAGGATTGAGAAATTTTAAAATTTCAGAAATTCCGAAAATTTGCTAATTTAAAAATGTTTAATTCTGAAAAATTCCAAAAATTCCAAAAATTTCATAAATTCAAGAATTTTCAAAAATTCTGAAAATCGCTAATGTTCCAAAAAGCCATAAATCCGAAACTTCTGAAAATTCAAAAATCAAAAAAATACAGAAAATTGAAAACTTTCAAAAAATTCAGAAACTATATTTTTTTGAAAAATTCAGAAATTCTAAAAATTTCAAAAAACCAAAATTTTTATATTTTATGAATCAGCTTAAAGGAGGGCAGACAGCAAAAATTTCGGGGAAAATTTCAGGGAATGTGTATTTTGCCGTCGCGGTGTTCGCACCTAAAGCACGCAATCCCACGCGCAAACATTTTTATTTTTTTATTTCCCGACTTTATTTTTTTCAATTTTTAACGACTTCAAACATTAAAAAAGCTCTTTTTTCTTATTTATTATAAAACCCATATAAAAGTGAATTTTTTATGTAAATTTAAAGTTCTATCGACCGATTATTTTGCCAGTCGCCGGTGTTTTTTATAGGCATGCGAAAAAAACTATTTTCTCTTCGATAACCGTTTCTTCACTGTTCCTATTTATCTCATTACTTCTCGTTATTACTCTAGGAATAAAAAACTGTTTTATGACTGGGGTTTTCAGAGACGTCTCCATTTTTACTGCTTCCTTCACCTTCCGACGACCAGCCCTGCACGAGGATTGTTTTAATTATGTGGTTTTTTTTTTCAATTGTTATGTCTCTTTCTAAAAATTAATTGTAGTTTTTTTCATAATTTATTTGTTAACATAATAAAACACGTTTCTTCATTTTCAACTGATTTTGATACCTCGGAGCGAGGCCTCGGCGGCACGCTGGTAGCCCTTCAGAAATTCCGAGTTCAAAAAGTTCAATCCGAAGGAAACAAGGGAAGAAAAAAGTAAAAACACCAGCAGGGATTGAACCTCTGACCTCCTGAATACTAGCCTAGAGCGTACCCACTATACTACGCGTGTAAGAGGCGACCATCGCGTTTTTCACATTATGAAGCGACGCCGCAGCAGCAAGCTAGTGAAGAAATTAGGGTGACAAAAAAGAGCATTTTTTCGTCCTTGAAGTGTTTTTTTCAGGTTTTTAAGTACATAGCTATATTTATACTTCAGAGTTATATCTTTTGAGTAAAAATGAAATTTTTGAAATTTTTGATGTCTACCCTCCTTTAATACTGAAAATTTCTAATTTATAACATTATACAGAAATTCCAGAAAAAAGAAACGGAAAATTTAAAAAATTCAGAAATTCCAAAATTCCGAAAAATCGATAATTTTAAAAACTCTGACATATTCAAAGTTTTTAGAAATTGATAAATTCCGAAAATTAAAATAAATTAAAAATCTCAAAAGTTCCAAGAGCCATAAATCCGAAACTTCTGAAAATCCGAAATTTCAAAAAATCTCAAAAATTCCAGAAATTCTAAAAATTTCAAAAACCAAAATTTATATATTTTAAGTTCCTCGAAATTCGCAGGATTTGAGAATTTTCAGAATTTTAGAATTTCTAGAATTCCACGAAGATTTTGATCTTCAACACTTTTTTGAAAAAACCCAAAAATTCAGAATCCCTCTCTACCTTGAACTCATCTCCCTCCTGTCCCTCGTCGTCTGATTCTTCCTCTTCCTCCTCATCGTCAACGTCTCCTTCTTCTTCATCATCCACTTCGTCGTCTTCTGAATCCTTTTCTTCTTTTTTCCCCTTCTTCTTCTCCGAAGTACTCGGCTTCTCCTCCTCTTCCTCATCCATCACCAACTCATCGTCCTCATCGTCCGACAGAATCGCATCGCAAACTTTTGACGTCATCTGAAAAAATGGAAAATCTGTAAATCTGAAAATCCTGGAAAAATCAGATCGAGGTAGAGAAACAATGGAAATTACCGAAAAAATTGAAAAATCGCTTGAAAAAAGGGGAGAAAATTGATTTTTATGTGAAAAATTGGAAATTTTGCTGAAAAAGCAGAGAAAATAGGGACTGATCATACGAAAATTTGGGATTTTTTAAGTGGAAAAAACGGTCAAAAACGGGTCGAAAATAGGTGAAAATCATGCAGAAATTAGACGAAAAAATGAGAGGATACAAGCCAAGAATACGGGGGAAAAATAGCTGGAAAATGGGTGAAAACAGGCGAAAATCAGCGGAAAATAAAGCAATTTTTCTTGAAAATTCGAATCAAATGCCAATTATTTCGGAATCTCTCCCATCGCGTTGGCCTTTCGAATCTCCTGAGTCTCTTTTTCGCTCAAAATCCGGATATTATGAGCCGTTTTGTGCTGATTCAGCTCTTTTCCCTTCTCGACGAGCTGCTCGTTGAGCTGTTTCGATACCAGACCGAGCTGCAAAAATTGAAGGTTTTTGGAAATTTTTTTGGGAAAAATGGGGGATTTTGAGCGAATCTTAGAGCTCAAATCGAGTCGAAAATTCCGCAAAAATGTAATATTTTCAAAGCGAAATTCGTCTAGAAATTGACTGAAATAGCTCGAATTTCGCCTGAAAATCGGCTGAAAACAGGTCTAAAATGGGGTTCAAGCAGACTAAAATGGTCAAAATTGGGCCAAATTTTGGCAATTTCAGTCAAAAAAAAAACATTTTCAGGTCAAAATTGGTCATTTTGTTTGTTTAAAATAGTCAAAAATACAGCAAAATTTAGATTTTTTAAAGGCGAAGTTTTGTCTAAATTAGATTCAAATAGCTAGAAAGCGACTTAAAAAGGCTCAGTTTTTTTCTGAAAATCGACAAAACAAGCCAAAAAAGTCCAAATTTCGACAATTTCAGTCACAAAATTGGTCATTTTAACGTTGAAATAGGCATTTTTAGGCTGAAATCCAGGTTTTTTAAAGGTGGAAAATGGACATTTTTCGGTTGAAAATGAAAATTTTCCGGTCAAAATTGGTCATTTTTAGCTTCGAAATCGTCTGTTTTCAAGCTGGAAATTAGGTTTTTTTTTAGGTTGAAAATTGACATTTTTCGCTTAAAATTGGTCATATTCAGGCAAATTTAGTCGTTTTCAAGTCAAAACTTATCACTTGTTATCATTTTTAGGTCGAAAAATAAACATTTTTGGGTTGAAAACAAGCATTTTTGGGTCGAAATTGTCTATTTTTAGGTTAAAATAATCATCTTTAAGCTAAAATTCAGGGCCAAAATAGCAATTTCGGATCGAAAATTTGCATTTTTAGCTTAACTTTGGACATTGTTGTGTCTTCTTTTTTGCAGTTTCCTTAACAGAATTTGAGCCATTTCCAGTCAATTTTGAGTCAGAATTCTATAGTTTTGGGGTTTTGACTTCTGAAACTTTCACTCTCACATTTGTCATATTGTTCTCCAAGTCAGGAATCACATCCTTGACCGTATACTCGACCAACGAGTCGCTGATCAAACGGAAGCACTTTTGGTCCGGCTTCAAGTCCTTGATCACGTCCAAAACTCGCCCAATCTCACGACGCTCTTCCTCGATCCGGGTAACTTCGGTGGCGATCTCCTGCTGCTGGTCGCGGAGTTGCTTGAACTTCTCGACAACCTTGCGTTGCTCTTCTTGCTCGGCCGGAGAGGCTTGGGGTTGAGCGACGGCGGCGGCGGACATCTGGAAATGTGGAAAATGGATGGAAATTCCCAAAAATTGCATGAAAAGGGGGGGGGGTGGTCGAAAAATAGGTCCAAAAAGTGGGTTAAATTGGTCATTTGGAACATAGGAACATCGAATTTCGAGCCAAAAATCAGGAAAATCAGTATTTTGAGTTCGAAAAATCACTTTTAAGGCTTGAAATTATAATTTTTGGAATGTTGGGACCCAATTTAGAGTATATATCCAAAAAAATTAATTTCAGGAGCTGAAAATTGACTTCTTCGAATCCAAAAAGGTTTTTTTTAATTTCTGGCCCGAAATTTGATTTTTCGAGATTCCAAAATGGCCAATTTCGGACTTCTTTTGCTTGAAAATAGCGCTAAAAATCCAACAATTGTTACAGCCTAGAAATATAGATTTTTCGCTATTTTCTAAGGATTTTTTCAGGAAAAGAACGTTTTTCGATTTTTTGAGGCAATTTCAGGTGAAAAGGGTCGATTTTAGCTGAAAATTCTTGAAAAAATACATCCAAATGGCTGAAAAAACCATGAGAAATCAGAAAAATATTTTGAAAAGATATATGAAAAATGTACTTTTTTTAAGGGGAAAAATAAATAAAGTTAAAAAATTATACCATGAAAAACAGAAGAGAATGGGAAAAGAGAAGAAGAAGACGAAAATGGAGAAAAATGGAATTTTTAAAAGGGAAAAAATGAGGAAAATGAGCTGAAAAATTGGATAAAATCATGGAAAATCAATTTTTTTCTTTAAATATTCTTGAATTTCAACGATTTCCAGCCAATTTTCCGCCAAAAAGAGTCAATTAACACAACAAAAAAGGTGGATATTATAATTAGAAGAAACACACATTTCTGAGGATCATTTTAATAAGAAAAACAAAAGAGAATTAGGTCCATTCTAAGCCTCCATCATCGCCTCCTCGACACTATTCAGGTCCATTTGACGATTCCATCCTTTCTCTGGAATCTTTCCAGAAGCCAGAATCGACTGAAGATAGTTGACTTCAGAGAGGGATTTGGCATTTCTGATGGCCTCTTTGATCTTGTCCCTATCCTCGTCAGTGAGCTTCTGACCTCCAGAAGATGCTCCAGACGACGCTTCAACTTCCGATGGATCCTCCGTATGCACACTCTTCTGAATCGCGTCTCTCGCCTTCTTTCCACTCTTTCCTTTGAACATCTTCTTCGCTGAATCCCGTTCTATCATTCGGACACGATTGAAATCGATCACTCGAACTGATGGAAGCTTGTAGATGATGTACAGTCGGTAGTTCTCTTTGTGAGTGAGTGGGTTGCCGATGAACGTCACGAATTCCAGCTTTTTGCATTCTGCGAGTGGCTCGATGTCTCCGAGTTCGCAGAGATTGTTGTTGGTGAGAGCGAGCGTTTTGAGATTCGGGAGCTTTGTGGCGATGTCGGGAGCGATGTAGCTGCAAAATGGTGATTTTTAGATCGAACTTTGGTCCTTTTCGCGTTCAAAATAGGCACTTTTAAGTTTAAAAATGATCATTTCTAGGTAAAGATTCGTTATTTTTTAGGTAAAAATTAGTCATTTTCGGGGTTCTAAATAAGCTTTTTCTAGGCTAAAATTAATCATTTCACAGTAAAAAATAGATCATTTTTAAGTTCAAAACAGATACTTTCAGGCTGAAAATTGGTCTGTTTGGCAAAGGCATTTTTAGGGTTGAAATAGGTGATTTTTGAGTTAAAAATAGTGATTTTTAGGTTGAAAATCGGCCAATTTTGGTTCCAAATGGGAATTTTAGAATTGAAAATTGCTCACTTTCAAGCTCTGAATTTGTCATTTTAATGTTGAAAATAAGTTTTTTAGGTTGAAACTGGCCATTTATAGGTTCGAAACAGGCATTTTTGTGTCGAAAATGATGATTTTTAAGTTAAAAATCGGCCAATTTTAGGTCAAAATCAGTCATTTTGAGCTTGAAAATCGGCAATTTCCAGGTAGAAAATTGGTCTGTTTCAAGTTGAAAATGAGTCATTTTTCGGTGGAAACTGGTAATTTACAGATTCAAAATAGGCATTTTCAGACTAGACAATTTGCGGTTGGAGATCGGCAATTTCAGGTTCGAAAATGATCAATTTCCGTCTCTAAATTGATCATTTTAATTTTGAAAACAGGCATTTTTGGGTCGAAACTGATCATTTCTAGTCTCTAAGTTGGCCATTTTTAGGCTGAAACTGGCCATTTATAGGTTCGAAACAGGCATTTTAGTGTTGAAACTAATGATTTTTAGGTTAAAAATCGGCCAATTTTAGGTCAAAATAGGCATTTTTGATTGTTTCACACGAAATTTGAAGATTACAAACCTAAAAATGCCCCTGTTTCTGGCACTTTTTAACTCAAAAAATCAATTTTTAGCTCAAAAATTCCAGTCCCTTACTTGATGCGATTATTGTGCAAATACAGGGTATCGAGACGAGTGAACGTCGGAAAATTGTCCAATTTTCGAATATCGTTGTCGGTGAAATCGATGACATCGAACTGATCCCTCGTCACACCCATATTCTCGATCGCTGGAATTTTCTGGCCGCGCAAATTGATCTCTCGCATGTTGATCGAGTTGACGAATTGCGGACGATCGGCGAACAGTTCGGTGGTGAGACGGACCATGTTTGATGCTGAAATTGGGTGAAAATGAGTGAAAATTCGGGAAAATTTGAAGGAAAATGAAAAAAAAGAGCGGAAATTGATTAAAAAGAAGAGGAGAACAATGCAAAAAATGCAAAAAATTGAGAAAATTGTTGACATTTTCCGGTCGAAAAATGCTGAATATTAGTATTTTCTAGATGAAAATAGCTCAAAAACTCGGTAAATTCCGGATTTTTTGGGCAAAAAATGTAGTATTTTGAGGCTTTTAAGATGAGAGGGACCATTTTTTAGCCTAAAATTTGGTAGAAATTCAGTAAACATCGAGCAAAAATGGGCAGAAATACCCAAAAATACTCCTTTTTCCAAAAAAAAAAACTCTGAAAACATGATTATTGAGGTCTAAATCAGGCAAAAAAGAATTTGAAAAATGAGAAAAAAATGTATACAAAACTGGCTGAAACCAGAGAAAAAAAATCAATATGAACATAAACATCGAAATTTTTGTTTCAAATCACAAGTTAGGTGTTTACATGAGATCATGGGGAAAAGGTTTTAAAAGGAATATTTACAGGTAAAATGAACTTTTTGGGTTGAAAAATCGGGAAAAACGCAATTTTTCAGCTAAAATATCGAAAATTTCAAATGTTTTTCACACAAACAAAGCGACAGCAATCAAAAGAATGATGATAATACAGAATGGAAGGAATTGAGCAAAGATATCGGTGGTACGGACGAAGCTTCCCTTGACGAGCGCATACCAACACAGATTGACCATATTCCAGTCCTCACGATCCTGATATCTCATTTTGTTAAGGGCCAATGCCACGTGGCTATGACAATTGTCGCAGATCAGGTTGTGCTGGAAATATTTGAGGGTTTCAGATAAAAATTGGATTTCAAACCATTTACCATTCTTGTCTTATACTCCTCGGAAGCTTCCTGAACCGCCCGATCAAATCCTTCGATGCCAACCTCGGTGTGCTCGGGAGCCAGTTGCCAGTAGCGAGTCGGCCAACCGAATCCCATGTCATCCTCCTGACAATTTTGAAAAATTCCGAATTTTCGGCGAATTTTTAACTTACCGCTACGTAGTAACTGCCAGCAAAGTCGCGGATCACACCACGACTATTCGCGATTCCCATATGGCCGATGAACGGGAAGAACCAGCTGAAAACTGGGAAAATTGGAATTTTAGGTCAAGCAATTTAGAACTTTCTTACGTTATACATGGAATTGGTGTCCAAACGATGCAAAACGGGTAGCGATTGCTTTCTGGAGAGATTTCTCGATCGGTTATAGGCATCATTAATCTGAAATTCAAATTTGAGATAAAAAACACTTTTTCGCAGAGAAATCGATGAAGTATCGGCATTGATAGGTTCTAAATTGTCTGTAGAATTTTTAGAAAACTAAAATTTTACTTTACGACTGGGAAAAGTTGCCGAAAAACCCTTTTAAATAGTGAAAAATCGCTGAAGAATAAATCGAAAATTCGAAAAGGCCGCAAACACGGCAGCCTAAACAGTGCACACAATGCGCGAGACCTGCCGCGCAATAAGAGAAAAAAAGGAGGGAGATTCAAAAAAAAGGGGTTAGATATGAAAAACTTAACCTAGAAACGTGGAATATTGCCACTGGTAAGAAGTTCGCTGAAAATTTTGAATTTTCCAGAATGCCATCCACAAATCTGAAAAAAGAAGCGACGGACCCATCGAAATCCATCAAGCTCAATATGAATGTTCAGTTTGATGACAAGAAAATGAGGTGAATTTTTGTTGATTTGAAGAAAATGCGCTCTGTCGAAATTTCGAAAAGAATCTTCGCTTCGAATTTTCGAAAAATGCAAAAGCGCTCTATTGAAAAATCCAATTTTGCAGTTTGATGTTCACGAACACGGCTATAGCTGACGACACTGAGAAGTTGGAACTCGTTGGAACACGACTACTGGATCTGTGGAAGTTAAGGAGAAAATTGAGAGTTCTCTGAAATATTGATTTTTTCTCTCTTCAAAAAATGTCTGTCTGTCGCAAATGAAGTTCAATTTTTTACATTTTCTGTTTGAATTTCAGATCTAACCACCTAGATTTTTGAATTCTTTTTTACAAATTTGGAGTTTCCTTATCAAGAGTTTCAAAACGAGTATAAAATATGCCTAGGATTCTTGAAATTAGAATTTTTATAAAAACCCAAACTACTCATTTTGAAGTTTTCAAAAGCAAATGCAAAAAGCCTGACCTACAAAAAAAAATAGGTTAAAAACTTTAAAATTTTCAAATTTTCACGTGGAAAAAATATTGCTAAGCCTACGTGAGCGCATAGTTTTTTTTCTGATGACGTGGTAATAAATAAAGAATTTTAAAGTTATTTCAACGAATTTAGACAAGGGCGCTCTCCGTTTTGAAAAAGGTAAGCCTAAAATTCGGAAATTCCGGAAATCTGAAAATCAGAAATTCAAAAATTCAGAAAATCTAAAATTCTGGAATACCAAAATTCCGAAATTTTAAGAATGTGAAATTCTGACTCTGATTTTCTCTGATTTTCTGAAGTTTTGAAAGTCCTCAAATACTGATAAAAGATTGAATTACTTAAGTTCTGAAATTGTGAAGTTTTGGAATTCTGCAATTCGATAGTGTGGAAATCTTAAATTCAGAGATTCTGAATTTCTGAATATCTGAATTTCTGAATTTCTGAAATTCAGAGATTCTAAATATCTGAATTTCCGAATTTCTGAATTTCTAAATTTCTGAATTTCAGAAATCCAGATATTCAGAATTTCTGAATTTCTGAATTTCTGAAATTCAGAGATTCTGAATTTCTGAATATCTGGATTTCTGAATTTCTGAAATTCAGAGATTCTAAATATCTGAATTTCCAAATTTCTGAATTTCTGAATTTCTGAATTTCTGAATTTGAGAATTTTTGAATTTCTGAATTTCTGAATTTCTGAATTTCTGAAATTCAGCGATTCTGAAATTTCGAATTTCTGAACTTTTGAATTTCGGAATTTCTGAATTTCTAAATTTTTGAATTTCTGAATTTCTGAATTCCTGAATTTCTGAATTTCTGAAACTGTGAAAATCTGAATTTTTGAATTTTTTGAATTTTTGAATTTTTTGAATTTCTGAATTTTTGAGAATTCAGAAATTCAGAAAATTTGGAATGCTGTAATTCAATAGTTTGAAAATCTGAAAATCAGCGATTCCTTTTTTTTTTGAATTTCCAATTTTTTCAGACTTGCGAGACGTTGCAACCTTGGTAGGATCCAAAAAACACCCCAGAGCAATATGAATTTTCGGAAAATGTTGAAATTTGGGTCTGTGTCAGTTAGACGTGGTCGGCGCACACCGGCAAACCTTGGCAGTCTGCCTCGAAATGTGTAAACCAGAACTATCGGGAAAAAACTGAAACCTAAACTTCTCTAAGACTCATAAGTCTTTAGCGAGCAGAGACGGGGTCGTTTTTTTTTCAGTTTTAAAGGGTGGTACAACTGATAAGAACTGCAGAAAGTTCTTGAATTTTGTACCGGCGTTTTGAGTCCCAGATATTGTATTTTGGCAATTCAGCCGGACGCTCGGAACACTGAGGGTGCCTCCGACCCCATCTGACACATAGGGTCGTCGCCTTGGTACTATTTTGTATCATAAGACGAGCTCTTGCCCACCATCTGCAAATTTTCGCCAATAAACCTTGAGGGATCTATCTGGAGCTGGGTGGCTTGTTAGATTCTGCTGATAGGTGTACGGATCCTAGTAACCCTGGGTAAATGTATTATTGCCTTCTCTCGGGTTTCGGCCTGTTTGCAAGCGATACCGGTGTAAATGCGGAGATGGTTATTTTGACTAGACTGAAATTCATTGAGCTTGGGGGATGTGAAGGACAACGATCAACAGGTGAGATTTTTAAATTCTGAAACTCTTAGAATTCGAGGATCTGAGATTCTGAAAATCCGAAATTTAAAGATTCTGAAACGTTAATGTTCTTAAATTCCGAAATGACGAAGTTTTGAAATTCTTATAATCGAAATTCTTAGATCCTGGGATTCTGAGAATCTGAGATTTTGAGATTCTGAGATTCTGAGATTCTGAAATTTTGAAATTTTGATTTTCCGATATTTAAAACGTGAACTCATAATTTTTTTCGAAATCGTGACTAACCAATTTTTCAAAATTATTCATTTTGTTTTTTTTTCAAAAAAGTAGGGTTCTGATTTCTGAGTTTTCTGAAAATTCTGAAACTACTTTTTTCAGAATCTGGAAAGCTGATTTGTCCGGCGGATCCAACGGAGATCGGAACGTTTCGATGGAGTTCAAAGTGGGTTTTTAAAAAATGATAGTTCAATTTTATTGATTTTTTCAATAATTTGAAATCTGTTTAATACAAAAAAAACTATCGCAATTTCAGAACGCCCCTTCAGCAGCTCTATCGACGTTTTCACAAATTCTAAAAATTGGGACAAGTACAGTAAGAAAAATATCAATTTTCTTGAAATTATTCTAAAAATTTTCAGATGGATTCAACGGATTTTCCGAGGGATGTCGATGGACTTCGGCTGGAAATTTCTGTGAACTTGATTGTTTTTTGTGATCTCTTTTTTTCTTCTTTTGTTTTCGTTGCGCGGGATTTTCTTCGGTTTTCGTGGTTTCCGTTGTTTTCTGGTTTCGAAGTTTTTCCCAAGTTTTGGGATTTGGTGATCGATTAGTAGCAAGTTTCTCATAAAAGCAGAAAATTGGACTAAAAATAGTACTAAAGGTTGAACTATAACATAAAAATTGGACTAAAATCTTTAAATTGGACTGATAGTTGGACTAGAAAAATGAACTAAAGTGTTTGGACTAAAATCTTTAAAAAATGGACTAACAAGAGTTACTGTGGTCAGAAATTTTGATTATCAAAAGTAAAGGTTTAAAAAGTGTAAAAACGAGATTTAAAAAGGTGTAAAATGTGCAAAAAGGGTTCAAAAAAGGTGTAAAAGGTCGAAAATAAGTGTTAAAAAAGGTGTCGAATGTTGAAAAAGTCGAAGGTCAAAGGTGTAAAATTTATAATGGTAAAAGTCAATAAACGATTTAACCTGTATGTGATGTTTTGTTTATTTTTCCGTCAGAATAATCGGAATTCGAAATACCGTTTTTTGAAACTTCCGAATTTCTGAATTTCAAAATTTCAGAATTATTTTCAAATTTTTGAATTTCTGGAATTCTGACTTAGAACTTTCGATTTTTTGAATTTTTGGAGTTCTGATTTTTTTTGGAATTCTTAATTTTGGAATTTCTGATTTTTTGAAGATTTTTCGACTTGCTGAACTTCTAAATTTCTAAATTTCTAAATTTCTGAATTTCTGAATTTCTGAATTTCTGAATTTCTGAATTTCTGAATTTCTGAATTTCTGAATTTCTGAATTTCTGAATTTCTGAATTTCTGAATTTCTGAATTTCTGAATTTCTGAATTTCTGAATTTCTGAATTTCTGAATTTCTGAATTTCTGAATTTCTGAATTTCTGAATTTCTGAATTTCTGAATTTCTGAATTTCTGAATTTCTGAATTTCTGAATTTCTCAGTTTCTTAATTTCTGAATTTCTGAATTTCTCAGTTTCTTAATTTCTGGATTTCTTAATTTCTGGATTTGTGAGTTTCAGATTTCCTGCATTCTCGAGTTAAAGAATTTCTGGATTTTTAATTTTCTATTTGTTTTTCTTAGTGTTCGAGTTTTTGATAAAGCTTTGAAAAAAAGATTTAAATTTTCAAAAAAAAAAAGTAAAACAAAAACTCATAGTCCGAGGAAACTTTCGATAGGCATCGCCCACTTCGACCTCGATTATCTCGAATTTCGTAAGAGATATCAAAAACTTGTCAACTAATAAAATGTTGGTGATATTATGATAAACATATTAGTGGTTGACAGAATGTCAATAATTGAACTCTTTCAGGCTCTCAAATTTCGTTCAGTTGATTATTTGGAAGCAGGTTGGCTGAAAATTGAAAATCTGTTCAGTATTAGAAATATGCCCCGAATCGAATTAAGATGGACAAATTTCGATTGTAGAGATGTAAACAAATTCCTTCATTATTGGCGTGGCTGTGATAATGATATTTGTGATAAGGAAATTTATCAAATTTGGATTAAAGGTGGTGTGCGGTGAAAAATTGTATTGCTTCATTTTGTGCGGAAATCCATGTAGATTCTCATAAAAATAAAGAAAAAGTTCAAAAAAATTCCTTCCTTTGGAAAAACGGCATCGAAAAGAAAGTTGTATCTGGTGGCCTAGCGGCCAGGTGAAAGTTTTCTAGGCCAACTGCCGGTAAAAGCGCGCGAAATTCGATTTTTTATTGATTTTCAGTGTTTTCTCTGGCGTTTTTAAAGATTTCAAAGTTTTATTGTTAATTTCCTCCCAGGTGTATGAAAAAACCTGACAAAAATCGGAGAAAACACTGACAATCAATAAAAATTAGAACTTCGCGCGCTTTTACCGGCAGTTGGCCTAGAAAACTTTCACCTGGCCGCTAGGCCACCAGATACAACTTTCTTTTCGATGCCGTTTTTCCAAAGGAAGGAATTTTTTTGAACTTTTTCTTTATTTTTATGAGAATCTACATGGATTTCCGCACAAAATGAAGCAATACAATTTTTCACCGCACACCACCTTTAAAACAAAGTGGAGAAACCAATAAACAAGAGATTTTCAAAAATTTGACAGTGATTTCTCAACACCGCTGTCAACACAAAGTTTTTTGCATTTTTCGCGTCTGCAGGCGCCGAATGTATGAGAAAGGAACAAATTAATGGTAGACACGGTAACTACAAGTGTTTAAAGGTGGGGGGACATGAAAAAAATAATGTTCTCGAAATTCCGTTCAAAGATGCTCCTCGAGGAGTTGAACTTGTGAGGGTGAGGATTGAGGGTGCGGCGCCGCTACCGACTGAGCCACGCGGGCAAAGAGAAAGCGCAAGCCCGATTGCATACATGAAGGCGAGGACGACAGCTGTACGCAGAGTGACATTAAGTGTTGTACACCGTGACGGTAGAATGCATACTCTAGCTACAAAGAAACTACGAAAAATCTCCTGCCCCCCCCCCCCCCACCTTTAAATCCTATTTGACGATTTTTTAACCCTGGACCTTGCAATACCAAGGTCAAATCCCATTTTCGCCGAATTTGAAGTTTGATGATCCCCCGAGTCTGGTGAATGTTCAAAGTTAATGGTGGTTTTAATTTTGGCTTTAATAGATTCCTTTGATCCTTTTGAATATTTTTCACAAACATTTCGGACACTTGATGAGGAAATTCCAAGTTTTCTGGCCACATCAACACGTGCACCCCCCCATCTCGAGTGAATTTGCGATGTGGGTTGGTGTGGAGAAGTCTTCATAAATCCGAACAAAAAACAAAATGATACGAAATGGTATGAATCCCTGCCTATAGAGGGTCCCTACTTTCTATTAGTTTCGAAAGTTTTCATAATTTGTCCTTGGCGCCTGGCCAAGGAGCCCACAAAAAAACGTCCTATCGTTATCGGCCACCCTGTATTTTGTCCACAAGTCTACCTTCTCGAGGCTGTTTTTTTTTCAAATAAATACTATAAACGTTTATCTAGTTATCCATTCTTATCTAACTTTCGATAAACTCATGTAATCAACAAATACTTTGCGCAGTTCGTCAGCCTTGCGCCGAACACAGGTGGGAGACACATAAAGAGAGAGAGAGAGAGAGAGAGAGAGAGAGAGAGAGATAGAGAGAAACAGCAAAAAATCAGTGCCCCGTGTTATTTGAAGTGCTCATCAAACATTTTGATTGGCACACATAAGCCAACGCCTTTTCCCCCTTCCTGCCTAACGGGGGCTCTCGAAAATCATCACAGCCGATCAATTTGTTAACAAAAAAGTTCCTTTGTATGGCCAATCATTCCTTTTTACTTCTTCTATTCCTCCCTTTATATTTGAGCCAAAACCAATCTGGAAATGTCAAACAAAATTTGAATCTATGCCAAACGAATATCTGTCAAAATGGTGGTACATGTCTTGTGGCGAGTAGTGTCCCAGTGACTACTACATGTCCCAAGGACTCGATTTATTATATGGGATACTGTTATTTGTTCGATGGGACCACAAGGAGTTGGAATGATGTGAGTTTTGGAGTTTTTGTGTGTCAATTTAAATTTAATGACCTAGAAATTAAAGTTTAAAGATTTTAAGGTCATTAACTTTTTGATCATGATGTTCTGCTAGTCATAAACTTTAAATCTATGTGTTCTTTGTTCGAAAATCTCTATTTAAAAGCAAGTTATGATAAATTGAACTTTGTGACCTAGAAATGGGATTTCTAGGCCACCATCTCTGAACCATCATAACTCGACTCAAAATTGATCGTTCTGAATTTTCTGACTTGGAATAAATAGGATTTTTGAAATTGTAGCTTTTTGAATAAGTTATAGGAGCGATGGACCAGAAATCTCTAGACCTACAGTAACCCAGAATCGTTATTTTTAGGCCGCTCTATTCTGCGACAAAGTCAATGGAGCCACTCTTCCTCTTGTTGAATCTGTGGAGGACCAGGCATTCTTTGCTGGATTTGTGCCAGCAATGATTCCTTCGATGCCGCGTGAGTTGCAAATTTGCTCTATTGATAACTTGCAACTCCACCCAATGCCTGCATACTTTAAGCTCAATTAGCTCGGCTCCTATAATATATATATCAAGAAGGTGTCAACTGATAAATATTTTGTCATAATATCTCCAACATTTCATTAGTTGATATATTTTTGATATCTCTCACAGAAACCGAGATAATTGAGCACAAATAGATATTATCAATAGAGCGCACTTTTCAGAGACCGACATTCGCCCACCACCAGATGGAATCTGGACGGCTGTCAGAGGTGTTAACAACATGACACGAGCATCTTGGGTTTATTATCCTGGCTCATTTTTGATAACGGAGACATTTTGGGCGGCACAGGAACCGAATATCTATGTGAACTATAATGGTAAGTTGATTGCTCAGCTAATTAAATAAAAATTGCAAATTGAGAGAGAAAGATCATTGGAACACTGGAAAATAAATAGGAAAACTTTGGGATTTCCAGATTTCCTTGATTTTCAGGTTTTTAGATTCTTAGATTCCATAAAATCTCCAAAAAAACCGATTTCCAGAAGTCTGCGTAGCCCTCGAATCCATCTCCTACTACCGCGACTGGACCACGGCTCTCTGCAACGTCCCAAAATACACAGTATGCAAAATCGCTCCAACACAAATCCAGGCTCAATACGTGGCTCAATGCTCTTGTCCATCGGGGTTCGGCGGCCAAAATTGTGAGACTCAAATCACTTCGAATCAACAAGAATCGACACAACGAACATGTGGATCCGCCGATTTTCAGTTTTCCTGTCCGAACGACCAGACGATTTCAGTGGATTACGCGTCGTTTGGTGCACAGGTTTGGGATTTTGGGGGAATATTATGGGAAATTTGAAGTTTCTTTAATGCAGTTGAATTCAGCATGTCAAAAAACCTAGAAAGGCAAATTTTCAGTCAGTTTGACTTACTCAAGCTTGCTGATCTTTCCTTGATTTCTTAGAATTTTTGTGGACAGCGTAGTTCACCCAATTTCCCCCAAAACATCGGCTCTAGGTTTTGAAACAGGATGAAATGCAATTACAGAATTTGCAATTTTTCTCAAAAACATCATTTTCAGAGAAGTTGTTTATAAATTAAAAAATCAAGTACCTGTCGGTTAACCTCAAAAACCAAGTGTCTTTAGGAAAACTCAATGTGTAACCAAGCGAGCCAGGGAAGAGAGCAAACGTGCTCCAACGTCAATTCTCTTCAAACAGTCATTAATGCGTAAGTGGCAAAAGGGCGTCAGAGATTAGGACCTCTTCTGGAATTTCGGAAATTTTGAAGATTTCGAAAATTGTGATTTTGAGATTTCTTGATTTCAGAATCTCATCGATTTGATGAATCATAAAACGCTAGAGTTTGAAGCTCAGAATTTTGAAATCTGAGATCTCAAAATTTTCTGAAATGGAATTTCTGAAAATCTGAGAGCTTTTCAGATGCGAAGGCCTTCAATCTTGTGAGATCAAAAATTTGACGAGCACATTTTCCAATACACCATGTCCTGTACCACAGGAACAGTACCTGGAGACCCGGATGAGATGTGGAAGTGGTAAGGAAAACGAAATTCCGTATTTGGAATTATGCTTTTCGGAATTCTGAAATAATTGAAATTCCTCAATTAGAATACTCATTGAAATTCCGAAACTTGCAAACTTGGAATATCCGGAAACTCTGAATCTAAGGTTTTGAAAATTCAGGGATTCTGAATTTCAGAATCTCAAAAATTTGAATATTCTTAGAATTTAGAATTTGGAATTTTGGATTTTCCGATTTTCCAAAAAAAAAAACAAACAACTCCAACAATTCCAATATTTGGCAAAAATTAGGAAACCTGGAAATAAACTCCAAAGTTCCAAAACCTCAGATTTTTCAAAATTCCAGCTCAACAATCATCCTGCCCATCTGGCTTGATCCAATATAATGGGCGGTGCTACAGTATGACAATTGAGACGAACGAGAAAAAACAACGAACGATGGCTGATGCTGAACGATTTTGCTCCCAAAGTGTAAGAGAATTTTTAATTTTTCAAGGAAATTTTTGAGCATTTTGACAGCCGAAAGTTTGAAAAATATCTAAAATTCCAAATTTTTCCTAGGTCTGAAAATCTGAAAATTTGCAGGGTGGCTCTCTAATCACATCGATGCCGGACGATTTACTCCAACGAATTGTAATGAAAGTCAATGATGAAACGAAGAGACCAGTATCATTTTGGATTGATGGGGAGCAGAGGTTAGTGGTGGACATCTAGATTCACAGAAACACAGTATTTCTTATTTCGGCACTCTATGATGTTTGAAACTTCAATTTTCCAAAAATTCAAATTCCAGCTGCCAACTCCTCACCATCACCGGAACCTCCACCTCATATTCAGCTTGTCCAGCTTCCACGACATCTACGGCTAACGCCGTCTGTTCCAATGTGCCATCGTCTCAGGTAGTGGATTCTTAGAATTTTGGAGTTCTAGGATCTCAAAATTCCAATTCTTAGAAATTCCGGTTTCTTTCAACAAAAAGCTCAGAATATCTTGAAAACTTTGAATTTTCTGAAAAACATCTGAAAAATGGGAAATCTGAAAATTTTAAAATTCCAGTCCTCCATCTCTTCACGCCCATCAGAATCCGCTCCACCATCTCCAGAGGCACAAACAGCGGCTAGAAGAGAAGTCTACACAGGAGTGCCTCCGTAAGTTTTTTTTTAATTGGCGGGAAATTGAAAATTTTGAAACTCTTATTTGACTTTCAAATTGTTTACAGCCTTCAATCCTACTGTTGGAAGTTTCAAATTTAAATTTCAAATAATTTTTACTTCCTAGATCGAGCTCTTGAAAAAAAATTAGTATAAAAAATCTGAAAACTATTGTTGGCCCCAAATTCAAAACTTCCAGAAAAGTGGCAAATTTTCTCTTTCGGCAAAGTTCAAAACAATCCGCTAAAACGGCTGAAGTTGACCTAGTCAACTTTGAGGGCCTACTAAAGTAATTAGCACTTTTCCAATTTGTCTGAAATTTTCAGAAAATGTAAAACAAATCTAGAGCTTTATTTTTGTAGTTGAAAACTTTTTTGTAGAACTCTCTGCTGAAGAGATAGATGACCGGAAACGTCCATCAGAATCGCGAAACTGCAAATTTGCTCTATTGAGATTTTTGGGCTTTATTGTTCGATGGAGCGCCGTTTTTTGCAGACACCTAGCTTTTAACTTTGAGCCGATTTTTCTCGGCTACTGTAAAAAATATAGAAAAGTGGCCAACTGATAAACTGTTCATCATATTATTTACAAACATTTTGTCAGCTGACAACGTCATGCTACTCTGCACAGGAACTGAGATAAATTAGCTCAAACTT